CAGCTCTGTCCAGAACCCTCTGTTGTGATCCTGGTCAGAGCAGTCAGTGGTGGTAGCCGGGCACCATCTAGCTGTACTGGACTCAGTCAGGTGGAGGCCTTGGTAGCTGTGGACCATTAGTCCTTCGGACCAAATATAAATACTTTTTATATTTGTTTTATAATTTTTATAGTTGTTATTTCTTATAATTATTATAGACGCAAAAATTCCCAACAGAATTCTAGCAAACCGAATTCAGCAACATATTAATCAAGTTATATATCATGATCAGGTAGGATTCATACCAGGAATGCAAGAATGATTCAATATTAGAAAATCAATCAGTGTAACTCACCACATAAATAAAGGAGAAGAACCAAATGATTATATCAATTGATGCAGAAAAGGCATTTGATAAAATCCAACACCCTTTCCAGATAAAAACCTTCTGCAAAATAGAAATACAAGGGAAATTCCTCAACATAAGTAAGTGTATATATGCAAAACCAAAGCTAATATTCTCGATGGAGAAAGGCTGAGAACTTTCCCCTTGAGAACAGGAAAGAGACAAGGATGCCTATTATCACCACTCTTATTCAATATTATACTGGAAGCCCTAGCTAAAGCAATATGGTAAGAAAAGGAAATAAAGGGTATTCAAATTGGAAAGGAAGAAGTAAAACTATCTCTATTTGCAGATGATATAATCTTATACATAGAAAATCACAAAGATTCCACAAGAAAGCTACTGGATCTAATAGAAGAATTCATCGAAGTGGCAGGGTACAAGATCAACATCAAAAAATCAGTTGAGTTCGTTTACACTAACAAGGAGAACTCCGAAAAGGAAATCAAAGCAACAATACCATTTACAACGGCCACCAAAAGTATAAAGTACATAGGAATTAATCTAACAAGGTACGTAAAAGACCTATGCAATGAAAAGTATAAAACACAACTTCAGAAAACCAGAAAAGATGTAAACGGAAGAACATTCCATGGTCATGGATTGGAAGACTTAACATTGTGAAAGCGATCTATACATATAATGCAACCTCGATCCAAATTCCAACAACATCCTTACTGAAATGGAAAAACTATTTGCCAACTTTATATGGAAAGGAAAGAAGCCTCAAATAGCCAAAGCATTTTTGAAGAAGAACAAAGTAGGTGGCCTTACATTTCCCGATCTCAAAAGACACTATACAGCCACAGTAATCAGAACAGTTTGGAACTGGTTCAATGACAGACACAGAGACCAGTGGAATAGAACTGAGAAGACAGAAGTTCATCTATCTATGTGTAGCTAATTTTCACCAAGGGGTAAATGTCCATTCAATGGGAAATAGTCTGTTTAACAAATGCTGCTGGCAAAACTGGGTATCCATTTGCAGAAAAATTAATCAGGATCCATACCTCACACCATACACAAAAATTAACTCAAAATAGATCAAAGACCTAAATGTTAAAGCTAAAACTATAAAGTTCCTGGAAGACAACATAGGGACAAAACTATGAGACCTAATTTTTTTCA